ACACACACACACACACACACACACACACACTATTGACTCCCTTTTTCTCCAGTGATTTGAACACCACAATGGACAAGGCAGAAAAATGCATGAAAAGAATTTCAGTTTTACACTACTTACTTTTTCAGGGAATGTTAATATTTTGGCAACGTGAACAGGCACAGCCACTTCGTCTATTCGTAAGTTGGGGTCAGGTGAAATGACTGTTCTGCCTGAGAAGTCCACTCGCTTTCCGGACAGATTGCCTCTAAACCGACCTAACAAATAAAGCAAGTTAAAACTAGTTGGGAAAAGAGTACCATTATACAAAATGGTATTTTGGAAAATGGTAAAGTGTTAATACAGCACAGTAGGCACATCATACAGGGAAAGCCTTGCTAGCTTGATCTACAAACAATGACTTGATCACTATGCAATGGCCAACGTTTTGGCTAAAAAACCAAACAAATAAAAAAAAAAAAAAAAAAACTTTTGGGAGGTGGAAAAGGAAGAATTTAGACATACCCTGCTTCCCTTTGAGTCTTTGAACAAAACCTCTAGTCCATTTCTTGGGTGCCATGTTAAGAGGAATTCCAGAGAGCTCACTGTTAATGTAGAGGGCACACTGCAGCTGTAGGAAGTCCCAGTCTTCCATTATCATCTGTGTTTTGGCTCCCGATATCCTATGCTAAACAAGACAATTACACAAAATTGGCACTGAAGAAATTTTTCAGAAAGCTTTGCATCACACTAAATCGCAAAGGTAACAAGACATTGGCACCTTCACCATAAGGAACAGTGGGCCACATTCTGTTCATACATGAATGCTGCATGGATGTAACTGAGCAGAACCTGGCAAAACACATTTTCCTTCTGGCAAAATCAGCTTCTGATTAATGATAAACTAAAGGATTTGTGCTTGTTTGATTAACTGACCATTTTAATACTTGAATGTATAATACAAAGATCATGCTGTGGAGACACATTACGATTCATTAAATAATTAACTTATCAGAGTGGTGGCATACAAAATTCCATTGTGTTTAGCCCTCTCTTGGACGAAGACCATCACTCAAGGTTTCACTCCTGCATCTCTGTGGCAGAAACTAAGATGGAACAACAGGTTAAGCCAATCTGAGGCTATAGTTCTGCTGCGCAACATCTTGCAGAGAAACAGGTTATAACCCAGTGCTAGTTTCTCTTCTTCCCAGGAGACAGCACACAACCTAGAGCAGCATTTCCCAATGTGGGAGAAAAATCAGAGATACAAAGGACTAGCTTTTGGGGGATGGTGAACAAGCCTTCTCAATTGTTCTCCAGTTTCAGTTTTTGAAAAAAAAAGTTTCTAGCTGTTATTGTAGAAATACAACCCTGAATGCATGACCTGAATGTAACTAGTGTCTGCCTGCGTTTGCAGACAGCTGAAATAGCTCTGAACTGGGAAGTGCCCCATTGATTTCAATGGGTGCTAACTCCCTTTATCTATGCACTTTTCTTCAGATTTAGTTGCATTGGGTTAAATCACTTATTTCCATTTAACTTAAACTTGTTCCTAATCAATTTAAACTAAACCCAAGTAAATCTGGTTTAACCCAAAAAAGAATGTGCACACAATCTTTTGCAGTGGTTAAAAAAAAAAAAAAAAATTAAATTGGTGCAACTCTACATGCAGACAAGCCCAATAAGCTGCTCATTTCGGGTAGGCTTTTAAGACTACATGGAAGAGTAGAAAGAGGTGAGAGGGAGAGATGAGCTTTCAGAAGTCTGGGAAATACTGGCCTGGGGCAAAAAGAATGCTGCCGAGCTGCACAACAGTCCTGCCAGCTAAGTGACAGACTTGACCAGCTCTAGCATCCCTTTCGGTCCTTAACTAAGGAAGCATGGTAACTGTGACTTGAATTCTTAAGAGTGATGGGGTAGAGAAAGAGGAAAAAGACAGGCTCCCATAAACATCAAAAGGGAAGTTGGAAGGGCCTCCTGGCAGAGAGAGACAGAGGTATAAAATAAGAAACCAGATGGGTAAAGAGGGGTGTGTGAATTTCTGGGCCTATAAACTATTATGTCCTTGTGCTTTCATCAAGTGCAACAGTCATCCCAAAACATGCTAAATGTAGCACAATGAGAATACTTCAGGAAAAGCAATTAGTTCACTCCACGTTTAGCAGGTCGCTAACACACTGGTGTAACACCAAGAGCCAAATAGAAAGATCAATCTGAGTCCACCATTCCATGCCATTTCACATAGGGCCAAATACTGCAGCTGTTTCTTATGCTGAAGTCAGAATGAATGCAACATCAGACCTCGCATCGACAAGTAAAACCAATTACCCCTAAGTCTAATCCAGCCTTTTATTTATTTTTAAAAAGAGCAGCAGCTTCAGGCAGGCAGGCAGGGTGGCTCACCTTTTTGATTACATCATTGAGGAAAATTATCTCTGTAAGCTTCATCGTCAAGTCATCTTCGTTGGTGCCAGACTTCAAGTCGCTCACAACAGAGGGTCTGATGCACAATGGAGGTACCAGGAGTCGTGTCAGGATCAAGTCTGAAGGCTTTCCTGCTTCTGGATTCATCAGAAGCAGAGGTATATCTTCCGCTGGGATTCTTTTAAAGAGGTTCAACACCATTAAAGGAGTCAAGTTCTCCTACAAAATTAAATGAAGAAAGTCATACTGCAACCTTCAAGGGCATAACAGCTCATTTTTGGCTACATCTTAATACTGTTTACTTCATTTGCCACCCTTCTCTGCCAATTGGTCAAGTAAAAAAGTAGATTTAAAAACAAAACAAAAGCATATGTAGAGGAAGTTATTCTTAAGGCAAACAAAAACAAATTTGTCTTTTGGTTTGTTTATTTAGAATTGCAGTCCCAGTAAACTCTGGCTCGTTGATTCTTTCCCTCAAACTTCTCCTCTTACACTATTTTCAGTTTAGATTTCTCACTCTAGATTAGTTGTTACAGTAGTCTGTTTTCTATAGCAATATGGGCATTTCATCTTTACTTGCCAAAGCAATGTAATCAGCTTATAACATGCTTGCAGTAAGGTATAATTACCACCAATTTCAATTATTAGAGCTCACAGATTACAGCATTATATCCTACATAATTTCATTAAATTTTAAAATAACTTGCTAAACCTAACCTTTTTTTCCTGAATGAAGAATACATTGCTGACATTTCATGATTCATCAATAAACTCAAAGCTTGCAAGAAGTGCCTGTCTTTATAAAGCTGACCTATTGCAATTGGAGAGACACACAAACTCTGCATCATAATGTTTTCTATTTGCATTTTCCAAACATCCATACCAAGAACTGACTGACCTGTTAAAATCCAGGGGAAAACCCCCATACAATGCCAAGCTCAGCGAAACCACGAAAACTATATATATTCTTGTACTATACTTCGGTCACTCCTTCCTGTCCAGTTCTCAGCTCTTCCAATCATAGGTAGGGTTTATGAGTATTACAAATATTCAAGACAGTGATTGAAGGTAGTAGCCTAAATTTCTTCTCTGCTTCCTGTCACCATGATTTCACCACTAAGCTTTGTTCACCGACTGCCACTGATCCTATACCAGGAGCATCCCTATCTTTTGCATGCAGAAAACAGTGTACCACAATTACTTGACTGGTTAGCGTAAAGATGCTACTCCTTGCAGAAACCATTAACATCTCCCTCAGCCAGGCAGTATGATAGTTGTTCTTCAAATTCTCCTCACCACATATTCAAAGGCTGGACCAGCACTAGTCCTTTACTCTTATACTAAATACTTCAGCTCATCATTCAGGAATGCATGCATCAAAATTAGCAGAAAATTCAAGCACTGGTAGACACACTAATTCACCTGAGCTCTCCCCAGCAAGGATTCTACTTCTTTGTTATGTTCTATGGCAGTTTCAAAGGACTGAAGGAAACTGGACACTATTGGATCCACCACTTTCTTATTGGTCTTGTACTTCTCATGGATTATCTTCAATAAGCCACACTTCTTTACAGTACCTACAAGAACACAATTTTGTTAAAAAAACCTCAACTCGAGCTATTCTTCTAAATTTTTTAAAAATATTTTTTCAGTGAACGTAGCATTAGGGGAAGGCGCTGGCTCTGGTCACCTTTAGATACCAGATGCCTCTGTTCACAGAACAGGAGGAGCAACAGCCACAGCAATGAAAGTTTCCCCATGTTGTGGGTTCAGTGCATCTCAGCTGTGACCTGGACTAGTCCTAAGGATGAGAGGGTGGTTCACTCTACATGTCCATTCAACCTCTCCTCAACAGTGGTACGGGGTTTCTGCAATGTAGATGGTCTTGCACTAGGAACTGGACCAGAGTTCACCCACTCATTTCACTCATAAGTCATAAGATAGTAACTTTTGATCATTACTAATCCAGAGTGGATTTTAGCCAGTGACCTAACTGTGCAGGACATTATAACCATTATCTGTCCTTGAACCAGCTAGTCCTCTCAAATTGTGTTCTCCTGTGCTCATTGAAAAATGAGGATAAACTGATTTGGGAAATAAAACACAAAAGCACTAACAATAACTGCCAAATCAGTTAGATGCTGCATTAGCTGGAATACAAAGAACAAAAAATCCCCCGAAAAGCAAATTTCTAATTCTGACTCATGTGAGCATCTGACCCCAGAAGGGAAAGGACACTATACCAGGATTTCTCAAACTGGGGGGGAGGGGAGGAAGGGTCAGGACCCCTCAGGGCGTTGCGAGGTTATTACATGGGGGGGGTCACGCGCTGTCAACCTCCACCCCAAACCCCGCTTTGCCTCCAGCATTTATAATGGTGTTAAATATATTTAAAAGTGTGTTTAATTTATTAGAGGGGTCGCACTCAGAGGCTTGCTGTGTGAGAGGGGTTGCCAGTAAAAAAAGTTTGAGACCTACTGCACTATATTAACCTATTTCCCCACCACTTCAATTAACCTCTCCAAACCTTCACAATGCAGATGAGGTTTTTCTTTTCTTTTTAAAATGTTTGTGCATGTCCAGCAGATTGAGATTCTCATTTGATGAGCATTTCATCTTTTCAGAACCTGTTACTGTGTATGTGTTAAAGGAAATAGGTGGTTCTGCAAGATGAGTAGCAATATATTGTGTCTCTGGATGACAGAATACAACACAAAGGAATTTAAAAGATTATCTCAAGTTTTTGCAGGGTTTTTTTTAGGGCCATATCTAGCTTCAAAAACTGTAATGGACTCTACATATTGACTTATATAGGAAACCCCACATATACACATCTGAAACCAAAATATAGCCTCATGTTTTTGAACTGTTGTAAAAGCATTCACTACAACACTCTCAAGGCAAATATTACCTTCTTTTTAGAGGTGGGAAAACAGAGGCTCTAGAGTTTAAGTATAATTTCAGTGACTGATTTTTACTTGCACAAGATGTGGGACTTAAATACTGCTAATATGAGGGACAAGTGATAATATTAAGTCTGACATTGCATAAACTGCAATGGCTGAAATTGAATGCTTTATACTGCTGGAAAGCAAATATTTGTGTTTTTCCAATAGCACAGGGTATTCATTTCTACCCTAGAAAGCTGAGAGACACTAGACCTTAAAGAAATAGTAATCAGAATGTGATTTTACCTTGCTCCCTCCCTTCCCAACTTATTTCCAAAACAACTTTTAAAAGCCTTGGTTTTAGCAGGTCTTCAGAGAGCTTTGTATCATCTGAAAGCTTGGCTTAGAGACATAGCTTTTAATTCATGTAAAGAACTCCTCTCTAACTTTAGACAGTCATGAAATATTAGCTTCCAAAAACCATACTGGAACTGAAGTGAAATTTAAAAAAAAGATAGTCATAAAAACATGATTTTAATGTCTTGTAGCTGCTACTACTGGTAACATGTTCACAAACATCATGAATGCATTCATGACAAAAAAATACAGGATGGATTGGAACACACTTATTAAATCTCTACCTTCCAATGCATTTGTACAGCTCCTAGTACTATCAAGCCCCAGTCCTCTTAAGTGAGACCTTTAGTTATTACCGCAATACAAATAGTGAGGGTTGCTGGACACATTACATTAAAGAGAATTCGTATTCTGACTATTCTAATCAGAATGTCACTATAATATTGCAAAGCTGTAATACTATAGCAATATTAACAATATTAACTGCAATGTTACTCATTATTTTGTGTTAAGGGTAGTCACAACAGACTTACATTTTTTTTTAAAAAAAAATAAAAAAAAAAATCAATCACATAAGGTTTTCTGCCCAGTAACTGACCAACGAATCAAATATCAGTATGATCTGCAATTATCACAACTCCATCTGGAACACTTCTATGCTAAGTATTACTGACTTGTCGAACTCATTACTGCAGGAAACGGTTAATAGCATATTAGTCTTTACAAAGATGACTAAGCACAATTATGAACAACAGGCTCTTTAGTTAGGTCAAAATTAGGACTATCAATCCTCATATTTGCAGGAATAAGATAGTCATCAGGAAGATTCATGCCATTCCTTGTAGCACAGCTTTGAACAATTGTCTAGTACACTCAAGAGGGTTTTTGGTTTTTAGCCTATGTTTAAGTATCAGCTATAGGTTACGATCTAGAAAAAACATAGATGATTGTTGAATGATGAAAAGACAACACAACACTGTGATGCTCTTCACAGGCTGGGCCCTAGTGAAAAAAAAAAAGAAAAAAGTCATGCTAAATACCAACCACCACCTGCTAGTTTCCACACTCACCATTGAAAGCGCCACAATAAGGGCAGGTGCTTTTCTTTCTGCATTTTTCAGAGACTTTCTTTTTCAATCCCCGTTTCTGCAGGTAGGTCAGACCAGGCCTCTTCAGATAATCCAAAAACTGTTTTCTCTCCTCTGACGACAACAGGATACGGCAACAGGTCTTGCAGGTCATCTAAAATATAAACAATTGATTAACCCTTGTTCTTTTGTTAGTGAGAAATAAATATGTGATTAGGGACAAATTATGATGCGGGATACCACAGTTCTTCACACACAGTTATACATGCAGTTTCATGGATGAAATGTCACTGCCTTAGTGGGGGAATCCAATTATTGCACAGCACACTGCCCAACAGATGGGAGTAAGTTGGGAAACTCTGGCCAACAGAACAAATCTTTGCTCTCCTTAAGAATAGTTCTGCAGGAAATTAAATGCCCATGCAAAGAGACAACTTAAGTTTATTGGCATCACTTAAGAGACAAACTTTGAATAAAAAACTGTACCATAGAATCTCTATGGATAATAATTCTATGCTCAAATAAGAAGAATATTAGGGATATATTACCAACCACCTGACCAGGATAGTGACAGTGACTTTGAAATGCTCAGGGAGATTAGGGAGGCTATAAAAATAAAAAAAACTCAATAATAATGGGGGATTTCAACTATCCCCATATTGACTGTGTACAATGTCACCTCAGGACAGGATACAGAGATAAAGTTTCTTGACACCTTAAATGACTGCTTCCTGGAGCAGCTAGTCCTGGAACCCACAAGAGGAAAGGCAATTCTTGATTTAATCCTAAATGGAGCATATGATCTGGTCCAAAAGGTGAACATAGCTGGACCGCTTGGTAGTAGTGATCATAATATAATACAATTTTACATCTCTGTGGCAGAGAAAACACCACAGCAGCCCACACTGTAGCATTTAATTTCAGAAAGGGTGACTACACAAAAATGAGGAAGTTAGTTAAACAAAAATTAAAAGGTACAGTGCCAAAAGTGAAATCCCTGCAAGCTGCATGGAAACTTTTTAAAGACACCATAACAGAGGCTCAACTTAAATGCATACCCCAAATTAAAAAACAGCATAAGAGAACGAAAAAAAATGTGAGCATGGATAAACAAAGTAAATGAAGCACTGAGAGGCAAAAAGGCATCCTTTAAAAAGTGGAAGTTAAATCCTAATGAGGAAAATAGAAAGGAGCATAAATTCTGGCAAATGAAGTGTAAAAATATAATTAGGAGGCCAAAAAAGAATTTGAAGAACAGCTAGCCAAAGTTTTAAATAGCAAAATGTTTTTAAAGTACATCAGAAGCAGAAAGCCTGCTAAACAACCACCAGGGCCACTAGACAATTGAGATCGTAAAGGAGCACTCAAGGACAACAAGGCCATTGCGGAGAAACTAAATGAATTCTTTGCATCGGTCTTCATGGCTGAGGATGTGAGGGAGATTGCCAAACCTGAGCCATTCTTTTTAGGTGACAAATCTGAGTAACTGTCCCAGATTGAGGTGTCATTAGAGGAGGTTTTGGAACAAATGGATACACTAAACAGTAATAAGTCCCCAGGACCAGATGGTATTCACTCAAGAGTTCTGAAGGAACTCAAATGTGAAAATGCATAACTACTAACTGTGGTTTGTAACCTATCATTTAAATCAGCTTCTGTACCAAATGGCTGTACAAAGTGTTCTGCATAAAACACCACCATCTCTTTCATGGCTCCCAGAGGGATAATCCAAATGAAGTGAAGCCTCAGGTTTTCTGACCTCTCCCCCTACTTAGGCTGGGTATAATAATTGCTGTCCCTTCCAATTACAGAAAATTATTTTACCTGTAAGATGCCTATGACAGCTTTAAAGTACCCAACATGGAAACATGGCAGCTCCAAGTCAATGTAGCCATAATGCCCTAAACAGTCAGCTAGATTCTTCCCACAGGTTTCACATGGACGGTCCTTTTCACTGGTACCCTTTGAAAGAGAAACACAAAACCATTATAGCCGCAATTACCAAATTGGGGGAACAAAAGAAGCTACCACAGCTGCTCTTAAATTAGTCAACATGCCTGTGGACAGTTCTCTGTACACTCGCATGAAAGACTTCTAGATTATTTCAACTCTGAACTCTTGCTCTCAGTCAGCAAGAGCTGGTAATACACTGAAAGCATCATACTCAACATCCAATCTCCACAGAAACAGAGCATCTTGCACTGCTCCTGCTGATACAAGTGGTGTTAACTCATTCAACCCTATTCATCTGGAAAGACTGTTATAGTGACGTGGTACTAACAGTATGTCCACACTACAGCTGATGTGATTTGCAGCTTGTGCAGCTATACCAACATTAGCTTTAATGTAGATAGGTTGCTAACAGCAGCAGTGAGGACACACCAGCGTGGGTTTCAGTGCAGGTTGCACAACCCCACCTGATCCCCGAGTACATACTTGCACTGACAGCGCATGCTGAAACCCGTGCTGCAGTCTACACAAGCAGCAAATCACACCCCGAGGTACAGGGCAGACATACCCAGAGAGTGTGACTATTTTGTGGTCATGTGAAAAGCATGAGGAGAAATGTGTGTCCAGCCTCAAAAGTGAGTCTGCCTGATCTGTCCAACAGTGTGAAATGTTTGATGGCACAAGTCACGTTCCAAATGAAGAGGTGCTTGTATCACAAGACACCATTGCAACTGGCAATTTCAGCAGAAGAGCCAAGGAGACATAACCACCTTATTTCTCTTCAGCTCATGTAGTTTAAGTGGAACCTTGCACAGGCACACCTGTTCTGTGGCTGTATAGTGGAATTCAGTTTTCATTTCAGCATTGTTCATAAGCATGGAAAATATTTCCACTAAAAAAAACAAAACAAAAACCCAAGAAGTACCAATGACCCTTACCATACGATGGTCCAGTACTCCATACTGCAGTGGAGAGTGGTGGTTGTCCTGGCTGTACAAGTTCTTACTAACCACCTGAATGTGAGCCTGCTGGCGCATCTCTTCTGGAGATTTCATGCCAAAGCAGATGTGGCTTCTAGAACAGGAAAAATTACAAAACTTGATTTTAAAAAGATATATAATAAGCTGATTTGAGTTACAATAAAGCCAAAGCAAAATTATACTTCCATCTCTGGGAAAAAAGCATGAATCTGTGTATTAGATTTTTGCTTTACAGCTAATAGTTATTTAAGGATCATCAACAGACTATAGAGCAGTGGTCCCTAAACTGTGAGGCACCCATAGGATCGTTCAGGGGGTCATGACAGGGCCCGGGCCAGCCCTCACTGGGGGCGGGGAAGGAGCACCACCCAACCCTGCTCTGCCCCCATGTTAATCAACCAGTGTCTGGTTTCTTTTCTAACTAAACAAGCCCACCTATATAAACCAGAATAAGTGCAGATACATTATATAAAATAATTTAGAAACCACTGTGGCCAACAGGAACCAAAGGGTCAGGAGAGCTGATTCTGACTTTTGTTAAGCTGATCCCAATGTCAGACTAAATACATGTACCAATACTGTTATGTACCTGATACGATCAGCTTTTTAAAAAAAAATACAGATTTAAAACACAAAAGTTAACCAGATAAACCAGCCCCCACCATGGAGACCTGGCTAGTTACGATTATGCATTAATGTTGCTGTAGTTCTTAAGCACTGTCAAATCTACCTGGAGCACAAAGACAGGTGCCCTTTAGAGAGCGCACAGCCATCAGTCAGTATTTGCAGGTGGTCTGACGCCCCTCTGCCACCCAAACACTCCCTCCATCCCTGGGGCTGAATCCCTCCATCCTGCGGCACCGGGGCCCCCTCCGACCTGGGTCTGACCCCCGTCCATCCCTGGGGCTGAACCCGCCCCCCTCCAGCGGCACAGCCCCCCAACCATCCCCGGGTCGGCCCCCCACCATCTCTCCCCTTCAGCCCCCGCCTCTCACATTTTCTTGGCCACGTCGGTCTCCCTGAACTGCTCCTTCACCATGATGGCGGGGCGCGAGGCGCTGCCCGCACGGAGGGGAGAAGGGAGCCGGGGCCGCGCGCCCCCACCGCACTGCAGAAGTCACAGCACCAGCCGCTCACCGGCCTCCTTCTCCTCGCCCCGCCCACCGCCAACAACGAGAGGCACCGCCGCTGCCGCGCGGGGAGCTGAGGAACGGCACACAGCGAGTCGCAGCGCTGCGGTCGCTCCCTGCAGCGACACCTGCTGGCTAAAAGGGGGAGGCCCGCCCAGGCCGCTCGGGTCTGGCTCCGATGGTGTCAACTGTAGTAGACCCCGAAACAGTGATTTCCCTATACCCCCCCTGAATTTCCCAAACACCCCCCCAGTTTTGTGAACTAGTTACATGCCAATGATTTGTAACTCGCAGACGTCATAGTGGCAGGTGGCAACAGAAGGTGACTGCGCAGGGCCATGGGCAACAGAGTGGTGCAGTGAACGGTGGCACAACTAACAGCAGTGGCCAGAGTGAACAGTGAGCAGCTGGAGGAATGAGCAAGGTGCCTTCTTGCCCCCCACCTGGGAGGTGTACTCACATTAAAGCACCTCTGAACTCTGAGTCTCCACTGACCAAGGACCAAGGCCGCCCAGAGGATTCAGGGGGCCTGGGGTCTTCGGCGGCAGGGGCCCCTGCCGCCAAATTGCCGCCGAAGACCCGGCACTTTGGCGGCGGGTCCCGGGGTGGAAGGACCCCCCGCTGCAGGTCTTCGGGGCACTTTGGCGGCGGGTCCCGGAGCGGAAGGACCCCCCGCCGCCGAATTGCCACTGAAGACCCGGAGCGGAAGAAGCTCCAGGGGCCCGGGCCCCGCGAGTGTTTTCTGGGGCCCCCGGAGCAAGTGAAGGACCCCGCTCCAGGGGCCCCGAAAAACTCTTGTGGGAGCCCCTGCGGGGCCTGGGGCAAATTGCCCCACTTGCCTCCCCTCTGGGCGGCCCTGCCAAGGACAACACCGGTGAATCAGGTGCGGTGGAGGGAAAAGTGAGGGGCACGTTAAATAAACATTTGTTTGTTGGACTATATTTTAGTGACTTTGCTCCAGAATGCTAGATTTGTGACTGGGAATGGAAACTTATATAAATATGTTTGCTAGTAGGCAAAGATTTTTAAAATGCATTATTTGCCAAGGTTGTTATCTCACATCGTTGCTATCTTGAGCGGTCATTATGTTGGGGAGTTTCTGTACTAAACATTATTATTATAATTAATTTTTACATAAGAATGGTCATACTGAGTCAGACCAATGGTCCATATAGCCCAGTATCCTGTCTTCTGACAGTGGTCAAGGCCAGATGCTTCAGAGGGAATGAACAGAACAGGTAATCATCAAGTGATCCATCCCCTGTTGCCCATTCCCAGCTTCTGGCAAACAGGCTAGGGACACTCAGAGCATGGTGTTGCATCCCTCCCCATCCTGGCTAATAGCCACTGATGGACCTATTCTCCAGGACCTTGCAAAGGGAATTAAAACCAATGGTAAAAGGTTCTATAGCCATATAAATAAGAAGAAAACAAAGAAAGAAGAAGTGGGACCACTAAACACTGAGGATGGAGTGGAGGTTAAGGATAATCTAGGCATGGCCCAATATCTAAACAAATACTTTGCCTCAGTCTTTAATGAGGCTAATGAGGAGCTTAGGGATAATGGTAGGATGACAAATGGGAATGAGGATATGGAGGTAGATATTACCACATCCGAGGTAGAAGCTAAACTCGAACAGCTTAATGGGACTAAATCAGGGGGCCCAGATAATCTTCATCCAAGAATATTAAAGGAACTGGCACATGAAATTGCAAGCCTATTAGCAAGAATTTTTAATGAATCAGTAAACTCAGGGGTTGTACCGTACGACTGGAGAATTGCTAACATAGTTCCTATTTTTAAGAAAGGGAAAAAATGTGATCCGAGTAACTATAGGCCTGTTAGTTTGACATCTGTAGTATGCAAGGTCTTGGAAAAAATTTTGAGGGAGAAAGTAGTTAAGGACATTGAGGTCAATGGTAATTGGGACAAAATACAACATGGTTTTACAAAAGGTAGATCGTGCCAAACCAACCTGATCTCCTTCTTTGAGAAGGTAACAGATTTTTTAGACAAAGGAAACGCAGTGGATCTAATTTACCTCGATTTCAGTAAGGCATTTGATACGGTTCCACATGGGGAATTATTAGTGAAATTGGAAAAGATGGGGATCAGTATGAAAATTGAAAGGTGGATAAGGAACTGGTTAAAGGGGAGACTGAAAGGTGAACTGTCAGGCTGGAAGGAGGTTACTAGTGGAGTTCCGCAGGGATCGGTTTTGGGACCAATCTTATTTAATCTTTTTATTACTGACCTTGGCACAAAAAGTGGGAATGTGCTAATAAAGTTTGCGGATGACACAAAGCTGGGAGGTATTGCTAATACAGAGAAGGACCTGGATATCATACAGGAAGATCTGGATGACCTTGTAAACTGGAGTAATAGTAATAGGATGAAATTTAATAGTGAAAAGTGCAAGGTCATGCATTTAGAGATTAATAACAAGAATTCTGGTTATAAATTGGGGATGCATCAGTTGGAAGTAACAGAGGAGGAGAAGGACCTCGGAGGATTGGTTGATCACAGGATGACTATGAGCCGCCAATGTGATATGGCCGTTAAAAAAGCTAATGCGGTCTTGGGATGCATCAGGCGAGGTATTTCCAGTAAAGATAAGGAGGTGTTAGTACCGTTATACAAGGCACTGGTGAGACCTCATCTGGAATATTGTGTGCAGTTCTGGTCTCCCATGTTTAAGAAGGATGAATTCAAACTGGAACAGGTACAGAGAAGGGCTACTAGGATGATCCGAGGAATGGAAAACCTGTCTTATGAAAGGAGTCTCAAAGAGCTTGGCTTGTTTAGCCTAACCAAAAGAAGGCTGAGAGATATGATTGCTCTTTATAAATATATCAGAGGGATAAATATCAGGGAGGGAGAGGAATTATTTAAGCTTAGTACCAATGTGGACACAACAAATGGATATAAACTGGACATTAGGAAGTTTATACTTGAAATTAGACGAAGGTTTCTAACCATTAGAGGAGTGAAGTTCTGGAACAGCCTTCCAAGGGGAGTAGTGGGGGCAAAAGACATATCTGGCTTCAAGACTAAGCTTGATAAGTTTATGGAGGGGATGGTATGATGGGATAGCCTAATTTTGGCAATTAATTGATCTTTGATTATTAGCAGGTAAATATGCCCAATGGTCTGTAATGGGATGTTAGATGGGGTGGGATCTGAGTTACTACAGAGAATTCTTTCCTGGGTGCTGGCTGGTGAGTCTTGCCCACATGCTCAGGGTTTAACTGATCACCATATTTGGGGTCGGGAAGGAATTTTCCTCCAGGGCTGATTGGCAGAGGCCCTGGAGGTTTTTCGCCTTCCTCTGCAGCGTGGGGCATGGGTCACTTGCTGGAGGATTCTCTGCACCTTGAGGTCTTTAAACCACGATTTGAGGACTTCAATAACTCAGGCATAGGTTAGGGGTTTGTTACAGGAGTGGGTGGGTGAGATTCTGTGGCCTGCGTTGTGCAGGAGGTCAGACTATATGATCATAATGGTCTCTGACCTTAAAGTCTATGAGTCTATGAGGAATTTATCTAGTTCTTTTTTAAATCCTGTTATAGTTTTGGTCTTCACAGCATCCCCTGGCAAAGAGTTCCTCGGGTTGACTTTATGTTGTGTGAGAAAGTATTTCCTTTTGTTTTTTTAAAACCTGCTGCCTATTAATTTCATTGGGTGACTGCTAGTTCTTGTGTTATGTGAAGGATTAAATAACATTTCCTTATTCACTTTCTTCACTCCAGTCAAGATTTTATAGACCTCTATTATATCCCCCCTTAGTTGTCTCTTTTCTAAGCTGAAAATTCCCATTCATTTTAATCTCTCCTCCTGTTTCATACTCCTAATCATTTTAGTTGCCCATCTCTGTACCTTTTCCAATTCCAATATATCTTTTTTGGGATGGGGTGACCAGATCTGCACACAGTATTCAAGGTGTGCACGTACCAGGGATTTATATAGAGGCAATATGATATTTTCTGTCTTATTATCTATCACTTTCTTAATGATTCCCAACATTCTGTTTGCTTTTTTGACTGCTGCTGCACACTGAGTGGATGTTTTCCGAGAACTATCCACAATGACTCCAAGATCTCTTTCTTGAGTGTTGACAGCTAATTCAGACTCCATCATTTTGTATGTATAGTTGAGATTGTTTTCCAATGTGCATTACTTTGCATTTATCAACATTGAATTTCATCTGCCATTTTGTTGCCCAGTCACCCAGTTTTGTGAGATCCCTTTGTAACTTTTCGCAGTCTGCCTGGGACTTAACTATCTTGAATAGTTTTGTATCATCTGCAAATTTTGCCACCTCACTGTTTACCCATTTTTCCAGATCATTTATGAATATGTTGAACCATAATGGTCCCAGTACTGACCCCTCAGAGATACCACTATTTATCTCTCTCCATTCTGAAAACTGATAATTTATTCCTACCCTTTGTTTCCCATCTTTTAACCAGTTACTGATCCATGAGAGGACTTCCCTCTTATCCCATGATGGCTTACTTTTCAAAAGTCAATTTAAATTAAATACATTTTAAGAAAAAATTATATATATATTTTTTTAGAAATCTAGACCTGTTATGTGTTTTGGTGTAACTTGCATTATCCTTATGTTAAATTTGCATTATCCTAACAAAACATTTACTTTATTCATATCACTTTTATATGTTGCAGGTCAAAGTGAAAATGAAAAGACAAAAAACAATACAACAATTTTTCCACTCAAAGGTCTCAAAAGCTAACCAAGGTGAAGAACACATCAAGAACCAAGAATATATCAACATGTCATCTGAAGGTTCAAGTGGTATATCTACATCCGACCAGCCCAAAGCACAAATACAGCTACCTACTGAAGAAACAGTGTCTCCAAAACCTAAAGGCAGTTCCCAATGTTTGTC